AATAATGATTAAGTATTTTGTTAAAATTCAATGATTATCCTAATTATATTTTAGATTTTTTATATTTAAAATGAGATGTTTATCTTGTATTTGATTATGTTTATCTGCAGTTAGTTATACGAATTCAAAAATGAAGCTTTAATAAGTTGTACTTATGTACAATTTACTTGTAATCTTATATTTGTAAATAATATGCATTAATGTACAGTACTTCATGCATAAAAATGGTTTTAAGAGTTTTTGTCAAATGCTTTATAATATAGTATAGATACATAAGAGAGTACTTAAATTTACGTACTTCTTATTAGGTAATTTGAAACCAAGAGTATATAAACTATGGTTGATAAATTTTTATAAAAAGTAAGAATTTTTTTAGTTCATAACAAGAAATATGTGTTATTTTGATACAAAAAGAGAATTCGTGTGAATGAAGTAATCGTGAGGGTCAATGAGAGAGTAACAATAAAGAAGATTATCAAGGTTTTCTAGACAAGTAAACAAATGAGGATCAGTAAGAATATGAAAGGAAAGATGATCAATTGAGATCCAACAATAATAAATAATAAATTAAACATATAATATGCAAGCTTAACAAATGATTATTTGAGCACTTAAATAGAATCTTGTGGTGTGGTGGAATCTCAATGGAAGATAAAAAAGTCAAACAATTGATGAACATATTTAAATTTTATTTTTCTTCTTTTTTTGCTCAACTAAAATAAGATGTTAAGATTAAAAGTTTATGAAACATGACATATAAGAGACATTACTAAATATATCTACTAGAAAAATTTATTGATCAATCACAAAACCATGAATATTTGAAATTATTGTTAAAAATTTATTGATTAATCACAAAACGATAAATATCTAGAGGAATGGATAGATAAAGGTTGGTGGTGGTAGGAAGATCGCCAACTGAGTGGGTCTGAATGGTATAGGAAATGTGGAAGAAGTTGATTGGATGAATATTTTAAATTATTGTTAAAAATGGGAGGAGTCCGAAATCCAAACTCTTTCTTGATATCTTTCACTTCTTTAATAAGAGTCTAAACCCGTTGGATGACTACTGGTTTAAAGATGCTTTTACTTTTTTGTATTGTATTTGTATCAATGATCTCAATGCATATGGTATATCCGTATAGGTTCAGCTACTGAATATCTCCATCTCAGTTACCCAGATCCTCCTAAATTAGTCTTAGCTTTACTGATAGAGTTTTTCATCCTCTCTTTTTGCATCCCATCACTGAAGCTTTGATTATTTTGGATTTTAGGTTTCTTTTTTGAATGTGTTGGTCCCAAAAGGGTCTACAAGAATACTAAACAGTTTGTAGAAGAGGGGGGGGATGAATACAAACACAATTTTTAAATTTAAAATATATATTGATAGAGAAGATCAATACAGATTTTACAAGATTGTTTGCGGAAAGATAAGGTATAAGAAACCTATCTAAACAATCT